GTTCATGGTATCTTGCTGAGAACTGACATGTCAAATCATTAGGCCAGCCCTAGGAATCATACAGTACAGCAGTTACTGTGACCCTGGTTCCCCTGGCAAAGGGGAACATTCCAAAGGGCCTCACTTTGATAAGGCCGGTACCAAACAACCGCGCGGGATTGTTTGTACTCTTTGCTTTATTCCTAGGAAAAAAGCTTGGTTCCAAAGAAGCCAGCTGGCTTTTAGCTCAGAGAATAGAGACTCTCATATCCATCAGTGAAAGACCGCTCTAGAAAGACCTTTGCCAAGTTTTGCTAACCACCACCACCACTGTGAAGTGCTAAGAACTGACTGTTGGCCAATGCTTCTCACTGCAAAAAGATCCCTCCATCTTGAAATGATCCCACCCTGACTGCTGATAAGCCTCTCTCTCCTGCTGGTCCTGCTTTCCCACCTGCTGGACACCAGAAGAACCAAAATATTACAGGGTGATGTGCTGGTAACCTCTCCCCTGAATGATGCTGAACCACGACTGTTTCAAGGAAAAAAAGAGGAAAAGTCCACTCCTCTGACACCGCCAAAGCCCAGAGATTCCTACTACAAAAGGACATTAAGAACTGACCTTGGTGAAAGAAGCGAAGTATTGTATATTGTCAAGGAGATACTTCTGGGAGTGGTTTGGGTTTCTCCCTTTGATCTGGACTCTGTGCTTACGGACAGCTACCATCAGCATGTACTGCCCTCCCTAACTGGGTTTTTAGATGCAATTAACCCTTAAGTTCCAAATACCCTTTAACTGGATTACCTTAGTACCTGACAGATTCCAAAATCTGCTTTCACTCTTATCAGAGGTTCAAAGAAATCTCTGAATATCTGTTTAATCCATAGCCCATTCTCTCTGGTGTACTAATTATGATATGTTGTGTTATGTTGCTAAAATTATAGAACAGCCCCATCATAGAATTATATTGGGGATATTAATGATTATATTGCTTTTGCTTATTAAAGGTTTCATATTTGATTGTTGTTGTAAAAGAGGTAGTAATAGAAATAGCTTTTATGTTTGTAATAATTATGTAATGTTTAATGAAAATAAAGGTTTAGAAAGGTAGTTGTGCTGTAAGCACAAAAGTGGGAACTGTGGAGGCAGGAAAAGGAAATGAGGGAATTTGTGTGCCGTCATCTTGGTCTTGATAACAACAGAGCAAGAGTCGGGCTAAGTCTGCGGCCTGACAACGCGAGATCTGTAATTAGACGCTGCCTTTGTCTCTCGCCTCCATACGGAGATAAGGATAGAATGCTGACTCTGGCAGGGACCTTGAGATAAGGAGCATCTGGGTGGAACTAAAATAACTGTTAGCCATTGGTGTTTGTAATGGGAAGGAGACTAATTGTTATTGTTATTATATCTAATGGACAGTATATAAACTGCTTCGTAATTGCTTGTATTTGAAGATCTGCCTCAGAGGGGGGAAGGGGAACTTCCCCCCCTGTCCGAACCAGTTTTTCCCTTGCTGCAGCTTGTAATAAAAGTGCCTCTGAATACTTGTTGCTTACAAACGCAGAGTGAGGACAATGTTTTCTTCCACAGGCTTTAAATCGGAATCCTGTTTCACTGCCGCATGTAGACACGGGCAGTTACTTCAGGCTAGTCAATTTCTAAAATGGCGACCGGATGGGAACATGCAAATGAAGTGCGGGATATTTAAATCCTGGGCTTGATTTGCAATTCCGGTCGTCCTCATTAGCCTCCCTAGATCGATCTAGGGGACTAGTGTAGACATACCCTAAAGTAACTAGGCATGGAAATACTTTCTCTGAACATTCTTAGTCGCCAGCAGCTAGGCAGTATGTAACGCATCCTCATAATGCCTGCAAAACACATGCGTGCTGGAGTCCAGTTTGCACAGGGTTTCTTGCATTGCGCAGGGTTTCTTGCCATATTAGGCTGAAATAGAATTTTATGGTTTTTAGTTTGCCATTGCAGTGTATGCATATTAGGCATGGATTTCTCTAAAGCCATCGCTCAAACAACCTTATCATTGCAATTTTTTGCCACTTCCCTTGTTTACACATGTGTGAGCTATTATTGCAGTGACATTTCATCTCCTCAGCCCATTGCCATCTGGAATAAGGTTCAGTCTCAGTCACAAGCCTACTGGAAAAGTATGTGGAGGGGCCGGAACCCAAAGGGAAGGCCAATGAGGAGTTTGGTAAAAGCAGGCCCACCAACAGAGGGTTGGCAAAGGGGACAACCAGCAATTTAAAAGGGCCCTGGTCTCTCAGCAGCCACCACTGATACTGCAGCAGTGGTGGTGGCCAGGGGTCTGGGCCATTTAAATAAAAGATTACGTCCTGTGTGGTGCACTCCAAGTGCTGCTGGGAGGTTGGTCAGCACTGAGGGCTAGTTGCCCCAGCTTTGCCCCTTCTTCCTGAGGGCTTCGCACCTTGTTCAGGGGCCAGCACCTTGCTATTCTGTCCTCCTCCCACCTGGTAAAAGCCCCTATTTTCTCTGGATCACAGCTAGCAATGCACGGAGTGTTCACCTGCTCTCCACGAAGGAGCTGAGTAAAAGAGCTGTGGGAGCTTGGGCCTACACAACTTCAGTGAATACTGTAGGGAGACTGTCCCCAAAGGATGGGATGATTCCAGTTCATATGGGACATGGGGGAGTGTAGCCAGACATGAACCCCATCTTGTTCCCCCCCCCCCCCCCCCCCGAGAGCAAGAGAAAGGCAGTCAGCCTTTGATGCCCTGGGAATGCAGGTGTGGTGCCTGTCCCTGACTCTACCATAAACAGAAACCAGACAGTAAATGGGCTAGCTGACGACCCGGGGCCTCC